AACCTGAAATCAGCCAGAGAAAACAAAACACGTGGGCTCCCCAACATTTAAGTGACCTCTTGTTTTGTTTGTCTTTGTCACTTCAAAAACAATAATGATTTATTCCAAGGAAAAATGAACAGTAGGAAGAAAACAAGTTTCAAGCTTTCCACATTAAAAGTAAATTTTCCCAAGTGATGATTTTAAAGCTCTGAAGCCACGGGCACATGAAGAGTCTGTCGAAAAGGCCGCCAAATTCACCAGATAGAGACAGTTTTGGCAAATGTCTCTTGAAAGGTCCAAAAAGTTCAATGCTTTGGGCTCCATGAGCCACGGGATCTCGTTTGAAAATACTGAACTCTAGAAAAGAACAGGAAAGACTGAATTCTGTCATTGTAGCAGGAAAACACCATGGACAGTACCAACATGCAAATGAATGCATACGGCTGTGTACCGATAAAAGTTTATTTATAAAAGCAGACTGTGGGCGAGATGTAGCCCTCGGTCCGTGAATGACTGACACCCGAAACAGAGCAATGCAGCCATTTCTAGAAGTCTATGTGGCAGTGCAATCTCATTTGAATCATCCCTTCCCCAAATTCTCCAAGCAGGTGTCTCTGCGTGCATGCCACACCTTCACCATAAATCTACTTAAATTTTCAATGAGGAAGGTTCTGGAGACCCTCCCAGATGAGCTTTGGTGGCCTCCTTTGTTTCTGCATTAGTGACCACAGTTTTTCCAATAGTCTTCTGGGACAACGCCCTGCTCGTTACCAGAGATTGAAATGTCAGCTCTAAGTGTTTTTAAAGTAAGCCCCATCAAGGAAAATGCAGGCCTCTGCTTGTGCCCTGCTCATTCTCTGTCTCTGTCTCTCTCAAGTAAATAAATAAATAAACATTGGGGCACCTGGGTGGCTCAGTCGGTTGAGCGTCTGACTTCGGCTCAGGTCATGATCTCACGGTCCGTGAGTTCGAGCCCCGCGTTGGGCTCTGTGCTGACAGCTCGGAGCCTGGAGCCTGCTTCAGATTCTGTGTCTCCCTCTCTCTCTGCCCCTCCCCTGCTCGCATTCTCTCTCTCTCTCTCTCTCTCAAAAAATAAATAAACATTAAAAAAATTAAGAAAAAAAATTTTTGGATTCCCGACAAGACTTCAATGTCGCCAGAGGACAACCTGTTTTAACCCTGTTAAAAGGACCATCCGTGACAGAAGTCTCCCCGGCTTGTGCTGAAGCCAAGTCTGCCAGGCCATCCCCCGTTTCCAGCCCTGGCAGCTGGTCCCCACCCTCGGGATGGAAGGACAACACCACGGACGGATGCGTGCTCCTCTCTGTGAGCCTTGCCCATCAGCAAATGGATGGCTCCCATCAGCATGGGTCTCGGGCTCTCGTTACATTTCCTCCTTTCTAGAACCTTGGATCTTAAGCACCCAGGTTATCGGTGCCAAAGACACCACTTGACTGGTCCCCTTTGTATGACTATCGCCCCACATCGATGATCTTCCTCAAAGACTGTGTGGCATCCCACAACCACACCACATTCACAGCAACGACAGGGCAGACCAGAGTCGGCAGAAAACCGTCCATAACAGGACCCATGGATAGTAGTCTACACAACCCCCCACTGCCAAATCCCCTTTAGAGAAATAGTAGACACCCTGCATTTGTTAATTTTCTCATGCCAACAGCAATTATTGGAGTTGGGGCTGAGTGTCTAGGACTGCACCTGATGTGAGGAAATATAACAGAAACAGCTCAGTACTCCAGGAACAAAGTTCAGATAAAGAACCGACTTTTGTCCACTGCTTTTGTCTCTATCTGTGGTGTTTATCATCTTCTTCATAAACAAGAAACTGGACACTATTTTCATATGAACTCGAAGGACCAGCTATGCACAAACACATACAAACACACACACATTGAGATATACATGAGATGTGTGTATCTGTAACTTTTATTCTTTTTTTTTTTTAAGGCTTTGCGGACCATTCTTTTTTTTTTTAACGTTTATTTATTTTTTCAGAGACACAGAGCCTGAGTGGAGGAGGGGCAGAAAGAGAAGCAGACACAGAAGCCAAAGCAGGCTTCAGGCTCTGAGCTGTCAGCACAGAGCCTGACGCGGGGCTGGAACCCACGAACTGCGAGATCATGACCTGAGCTGAAGTTGGATGCTTAACCGACTGAGCCACCCAGGCACAACAATATGTTCTTGTGCACACATTCTTCTATCTGTATATGTGTGTGATATCTATGTGTAACTTGCATCCATGTGAAATACATATATATGGACAAAAGAGCGAGTGTTTGGGGACACCTGTGTGGCTCAGTCACTAGGGCATGTGGCTCTTGATCTCATGGTTGTGAGTTCAAGTTGAGTGTAGAGCTTATGAAAAAAAACATTGAGGGGTGCCTGGGTGGCTCAGTCGGTTAAGCGGCCGACTTCGGCTCAGGTCATGATCTCACGGTCCATGGGTTCGAGCCCCGCGTCGGGCTCTATGCTGACAGCTCAGAGCCTGGAGCCTGTTTCAGATTCTGTGTCTCCCTCTCTCTGACCCTCCCCCATTCATGCTCTGTCTCTCTCTGTCTCAAAAATAAATAAATGTTAAAAAAAAAAAAGAAAAAAAAATTGATTCAGATATAGATATAGATATATAGATATGTAGATATATATACACATTCATAATATATATATATGTAGTACCTATAAACATATAAAAGAATAGGTTTATATACATGTACATATGCACACATTCTTTTATATATTTATAAATATTATACATGCACATAAAGTATTTATAAATGAATATATTAAATAAAAATAACATACATAAAAAGAAAGATGGTAGATACGTAGATATGATGGATGGATCGATGGATGGATAGACAGACATGACGTATGGGTAGATGGATGGATGGAAGGATG